TAACGAAGGGGCACGCAGGCGAACACGGCACTGATTGCAGCTCCCGGCTCACCCCACGAGCTTCCCACTTTGGGAAAAAAAGCAACGCATCCCGGCGGAGCAAAAATCCCAGGCGAAATCCCGGCTGTCGCCCGGGAGCATAAATCAGTGCATCGCTGGGCAGGGAGGAGGTGAGAGATCCCGACGGCGATCCGAGCGCGCTGTCTGCCTGAGACTTATTAAATTATGGCTCTCAAGTTCAGCATCTGAGCCCGGCGCGGCGGGGACCAGGGCCGGGAGGGAGGCGGGTTACAGCCCCCTAATTCAATCACGGGGCAGAGGCGATGGTGCAGGCGATGGGAGGAAAAAAGCCATCGTTGTCACTATGGCCAGAGTGAAGCTTCGGCAGCCTTTTCCCGGCCAGCTCTGCCCCCCTGGACGCTCACGGAGCTTCCAGCTGTGTGTCCTAATACACCAGGAACGGCTCCGTGTCTCCATTAAAGCCTCAGGGTGTGATGAAGGCTGGTCCTGGGGTTGGACCAGCTGCAGTCCTGGCAGGGGGGAGCGGGGCATCGGTGCCACCGGATGGGTTTGCACTGCTCCATGACCACTTGCAATGAAAGACGGGATGCTCCCAGCCCCACGGCTGCCCCACTGCTGCACAGCCCCGGCTGCTTCCAGCACAGAGAGAAAACAGGCCAAGAAACCACCCTTTCAGGAGAACCCGAGGTGTTTTTTACATAAGTCTGAGAAGCTGTTTCCCAACTGACACCATGAACTCGCGAGCATCACCGAAACTCGGGGAGGGTTTGCATAATGGGGACATGTGTTTCTGCTCTGCCCCAGGGGTTCAGGTACCACGGGGATGGGTACGGCATCGAAACCCCAACAGCTATGCAGGAAGATGAGGACGGAGGGACACAGTCAGGGGAGAAAGAGAGAGGAGGGAGCTGGGAAGACGGATGCTTTCCCTGGAAGCATTTACAAGGTCAACGATTAAAAGCGGAGCAGAGCGAGGATTTGGCTCCGACAAGGGAGTCAGACAGCGCCGGAATGGGAGGAAGACAAGGGCCTGGCTCCCACACCAGCACCGAATTAGCCAGCCGAGGGCTAAGTGAGATACCCAGACAAGGTCACAGTCCCACCAGAGCACTGAGGACGGCGCGGGAGCTCTGGCTGGGCCGGCTCCTGCCTCCGCGGCAGCAAATTCAATCGCGGCGAATAACAGAGTGGAACAAAATCCAGCAATGCAATAAAATCACCCGACGCCTTGTTCGCCTGAAGCCGAGCGAGCGCACGCAGCCGGGCTCTGCGCAGGAGGTGGCGTGCCCTCTGCGGGTAACCTCATGTCTGGGGGGCCCGGCAAGGAGCATTTTGAGTGGCCTTTTTGGGTGCTTTCCACGGGCAACAGGTCACCCCACCGCCGAGGCTCCCGGGAGAGGAGTGGGACGGCCGGATTTCTAAGTGCAGGAGAAGAGAGATGCCGATTCCTTAAGACACGGGGAGGCGAAATCCAATTGTGCAGCATCCGTGGCTGCCATTAACCTGTCTGTGTACTCCCGTGGCTGCCCATTCCTCTCCTCCTGACAGCCGGGGGCTGCCCAGCACACGCTGCCCCGGTCGCCCCGGGGATTTGTTTTCTGCCTGCCGCAGCGACACAGCCAGCGCCGCTCAACTCTGCCGCAGGCGCTTCTCCGGAGCTTTCTTCTGCTTCCAAAATGGAGAGATGGCTCCACGTCAACATCCCCCCCCACCCCGGTGAGCTGGGGAGCCGTGGCGGGGATTAGTGGGGCAGGAGGAACGGCTGGTGGCACGTGGTGACGGCGGCAGGAGGAGCTGGTGGAGCAAACAGCAGCTCCAAATCCTGAACCCAAGGCCGGGAAAGAAAACAGCATCGGCGGGTCCTTGGGATAGTTTGGCTGTTTGGCTTGTAGCATCATCTCACAGAATCACAGAATCACAGAATCTTAGTGGTTGGAAGGGACCTCCGAGATCATCGAGTCCAACCACATTAAAAAGAAAAACAACAAAAAACAACCTAACCAAACCCAAAAACACCACCCACCAACTAAACCCCACACCCACAACCCTCCACACAACACCCCACCACAAACCAATAATCTTGGGCACTAGAGCACACCCTGAAGAGCCATGTCTACACGTTTCTTAAATACCTCCAGGGACGGTGACTCCACCACCACCATCTCCAGTGGTGGCTGCACAGCCCAGCACACTCCTGGCACACAGCAGGGGTCTAAGTACTCGCTCGAAGGCAGCTTTTCCCACCAGTTCCAGACACATGGGCTGGTTTGTGCTGGGGGAACGTGTGACTGGGCAGGTGTTAGAGGGGTCTGTCCCACAGGGCGTTCAGCCAAAGCCCCCTTAGATGTGCTGGCAGCATCTGCCAGGGGGGAAAGGCAGCGTCTGGACCAGCATCGCTCAGCCCCACGTTCGCCCCGGCCGTGGAGAGGCTGAAAGCGAGCTGATGGAAGGGAGAGGGGAGGTGGGCAGTGGGGAGGAGGCACAGCCGACCCCACCAGCCCCCTCGCCTCTCTGCAGCCCAAGCTCCATTTGCAGATTTATTAAATCGAGAGCCAATTTCGACATCATTTCTTTCAAGCGGCTCCACCTCGCAGGTGTGCGGAATTTATTTGAGATAAAGAAAACCATTACAGAGAGACAGCAATCTTCAAAGACCACCTCGGAGACCTGAGAGAAATAAAAACACTAGCCCGTGCAAATGTGCAATTAAGTTTCAAAATACTCGTGCTCCATGAAAAGCTTCGTCCCTGCAGAGAACAGGCCTTTAAGGCAATTTTCCCAAACCCTATTCAGCATTCACTCAAAAATGCCTTTTAAAAACAACATGTGATTTTTTTCCCTTCTGACTTCCTCCTCCTTCCCCCCTGTGCTCGCTCCATTGCTCCCAGGTGGCACCCAGACAGCTCTGGTGGGGATACGGTTCCTCCCCGTTTGCTGGGGGATACGGGGAGTGGGGGGGGGCCCATCCGCATGGGCACGGCTCTGTCCCATTCCCCAGTCATGGCAGATCCACAAACTGGGAATTTTTAGAGCCAGGTTTGTTATTCAGGGAGAGCCCGACACCGTCACAGCTCTGCCTGGGGACGGTTTGCCGACTATTCCCAGGCGCTGGAGCTTCGTGTCCCTTATTGTTGGGTCACTCTCTGCTTGGTGATTAATTAAAAATGCATAATTAACCTGTGGAACGCACTGCCACAAGGTATCGGGGAGGCCAGGAGCTTAGCGGGATTCAGGGGAGGATTATATGTTTAAATGGATAATGAGAACATCTGCTGGTACATTAGCAGGGATCAAGCAGAATTAGGGAGAAGAGCCCAGCTCATCGCCGGGGCGGGGTACGGGAGGGCACCCCCGGGACCAGATCAAGGCGGGCACAGTGGGTCTGGCCCCCAACCACATCAGAGATGCCAATGTGCCCATGCACCCTTGGGGAGTGAGATTTCAGGTCCGAGTGGGTGGGTGTGCTCGGGGACAAGGCAGTGCCACCCTTGGGCTGGTTGCCTTCAGGCTGGAGGTGGCCACCTGGGAGAGATGAGGGTCACTGCTGCATGCCAGATCACCCAACCCAGCAGATGCCTCTTGTATCTGGAGGCCAGTGGGATGCCAGGGGCTGATCCTAACCCCTGAGGACACCCCAATAGCTCAGCCACAGTGTCCTTAAAACCCCAGAAGAACATCCATCAGCTGCAGCACCTCCTGCAGACGATGCCACACTTGCATGCAATGAGAAAGGCTTTGCAGAGCCTCTGTGCCACTGCCAGTGAGCTCTGAAGTTATGGCATGGGACCGAGAAGCCAAAGAAGGTACACAAGACACAAGACCAAGCTCCAGCCAAGTTGCCCATGAAGCACAGCCCAGCTCCAAGCTACAGGGCCCATGCAAGAAGCAGGTGCTGGAGGTCTCCAGCCTCCAGACACCATGTGGCTCCCAGGACTGAGCCTGGCATGGACTCTTCTGCCCATTGCAGTGTCCCTCATCCACACTGGGCTTCACACTGGGGCTTGGACACCTCCCACCATCACCCCTCGCATGGGTGGCACCAATCGCTTGTTGTGCTTCAATTTTTCCCTCCAGCCCCAGAAGTTTTGTTTGTTTTTTTTCCGAAAAGCCAGGCAGACAAGCCAGCAACTGCAGAGCAAACTCTGGGCCGCCAGCAGGATTATTAAACCCCCATCCGCAATCCCCGGTGGGTTCAAGTCGTTGCTCTTTTGCATCATAAATCTGCCACTCCATCATTAGCACTAACTAATAGCTGTGCAAAGCTTGGGAACCAAGATGTCTCGGGGTGTAGAAGTGCTGAGGACTCTTGGCAACATCCCCAAGACCTGGGGGTATCTCCAGCCCTTTGTCCAGTGGCGTGGCCACGGCAACGCCGGGCACCACTCTGGCTTTGCAGCAGCTTGGAGTGAGGAGCATCCCCTGCCTGGAGAAGATGCTGGAGCCCAGGGGATGCTCAACCCTCCTGGTGGGACCTGGGCTGATCCCACTCTCCCTTGGCAGCATTTTGGAGGTGACACCACAGGAGCAACAAGATGGGGGCCACCGGAGGTGTTTTTGGGTGTCGCAGCCCTCCTGGCTTCGTTGCCCGTCCCCTGGGACGAGGTGGCTGCAGCGTATCGTGCTCAGCCTGCCGAGCGCGGAGGGGACCTGCCGGGCTGGGGTTAATCTCGTTGTCACACTTTCCCTCCTTCTTGCTGGCTCGGCGCGCTTTGACCCGCTGTGAAATTGTGGCCAACAGCACTGAATATTTTAAGAGCAGCAATGCAGTCATGGCCGCGCGGCAGAGCAGCAAGGCAGGCCGGGAGCTGGGCTGGGCCCTCGCCTCCCCCCCGCCACCACCAGCAACCCATTAGCACAGTTCAGGGAAACCTAAAAAATTCAAAAGACACTGAAATATGCAGCATTTCGCTCTCTCTGGAAATGACGCGCTTCGCTTCCCAGATGCTCCCGAGTAGGAGGTTGTAAATAAGCGGCTTTACGGCACGAGGGGTGTTACCATCGGGGCTGCGGGCTGCTGCAGAGCCCCCGTTGACACCCCAAAACCCATCCTGCCCCTTGGTGGGGGCGTATTCACACTCAGGCTGGGGACAGCCCTGTGCCCGCTGGGCGTTGGTGCCCATCCTCGCTAGCACAATGTGGAAGTGTGGGCCATTAGAGGACCTTCACCCCTCCATCCTCATCCTCTGCTGGCTGCTCTCTGCCCCTTTCCCCTTGGGACATCCCCTCTCTGCATCCCTCCTCCCCTCGGCCGGCCGGGACGCGGGTGCCGCAGGACCTGACGCAAACGCCTGTCCTCAGCACTTCTGCTATCTGGGGCACGGCGGAGCAGCAGCAGCAGCAGCAGCCAGGAATTAAAAAAAAAAAAAAAAAAAAATTGCCAGCTAAGGTGAAGTGGTAACCTCTGAAGAAGTCAGCAGTGAGCCCTTTGCACTTGGAGAGACAA